CCATCTTGGAATTTGGACTGAGCAAAGCACAACTTTAGCTACATGAGGCATCTGAGCGACTCGATGCTGGGACAGAACCCGGACAAACAACAGGCCAAAGGCAGAGACGCGGTAGCGGGGAGGCTGAACGAACGACTCCCGGCGCTTGGTTAGCAGTGGAAGGTTGCCCCTCCCCGGTCCATACTGTTGCAACGTCCAGTCTCTGTTAAATAAGATGGATGAAGCCTCCAGGCTCGGATCTCCACGCACGAGGGACTTACAGGATGCTTCCATGCTATGCTTCTGTGAAACATTGGCTGGGGGGAAAAGGACACCCGACGAGGTGATAACACAGGCGGCAACCACATACTTTCAGGGAGAGGAGAGAGAGGGAGATGGAGCGCGCGGAAGCGGGCACGTGACGGGGACACCTGTCCTCGGGGTTCAAACAAATTAGTATACCACATGATGAACTTCTTTCTATATTGCTCGGGAGGGTAGGGATTATACATAATTGCAACAGACGAATTTTACTTACCAGAGAACTGCAAATGCATTATTGGTGAGTTGTTGTGTAAACATTCCCCCCTCCGCCAAAAGAAGAGGCCTGCACTCAGGGAGGGGGAAAAAAAAGCTCACATGACTGATCAATGAGCATGAAAAAATATCACTGATCGCTTAAATTATTTATCTGGGAGTTTTAATCATTGCACTCAAGAAAAAACATGCCAAAACTGTATCAGTTTGGTGACTTTTTCACCTGAACTAGAAGATAAATAACAGATACTGGAGCCACTGCTCACAGCAAAACATGGATGGAGAAATGCCTTTACAGGGGCTGAACCATCAACAAGAAAAAACAAGTCTCATCTACTCTCTCAGCCGTAGTAGGGTCGCCCGGTCGTAGATGCCATTTGCTGACCATGCTGTTACCGTAGTATAGCACAAAATAACAAGAGACAGACAAAGAAGCAGTTTGACTCTGAGAGCTCCGCAACGTCGCCCTCTCAGGAGCGCCATCTTGAATATAATCAGATAAAACTCCATTGACACATTTTGACCTGAGGTCCATCAGCCATGGTATCAGGCCAGGATCAACACTGTCGATGCTCTTTAACCTGTCTGCTAAAATATGAGGCTGTAGGCAACAAAAAGCTGAGGAGAAATCAATAAAAACATGTCTTGGTGCCTTCTAGGTGTCCTAACATAAATTTACAAGCGTACCTACATCACATCATCAGCATCCCTGCCTGACTTATAAGCAAACTGGAGAAGGTCTAAGTTAGCTTGAACTGTGTTCTACCCAAACTGACATAACTAGTTTTTTTTCTGTGCCATTGCCCATTTGCCACTTCATATCAGACCTCTTCCCACTCTTCAGCCCCCATCGCCCTCATCCTTCCTCCAAATAATTTCTCATTAAATCATATTCAGACTGTTTCCTGTTAGTCTATGTTTGCTGTTGGGTCCACTTCAAATGTATGTGTGGCTCACATTTTGGGACACTTCAATAAACTGGGTAAACTGTAATATTATTGTGTTGTTAATAAAGTTTAAAAAAGTGAAACTATAAAAAGCATTTTAGATTCTTCACACCTGCATTCTTACAGTGGGGTTTGGAAGCAATAAACACACAGACAGCCAGAGACAACAGGAATCTACTGCTGCACACATTCTTTATACTGAATACTGTGATCTTTGACACATTCCTGCACAAACTGTGCATTAAAACAATAACAGCCATATTGTATGCATTGTGTGTTATTGTTGTGTTTGCTCGAATAAACGGTCAAATTCCTTTGTGTGATGATAAAACTCACTGATTGAGCTGTGCAATCTGTATATAAAGCTGTATATAGTCTACATATAAAGCTTGTGTTTTTCTATTCTATTTGTATTGAATGTGTATTTTCTGATCTGTTGTGTTGTACGTGGAGCCCTCCTACCTGACACTGCAGTAAGCTGAGCCGCTGTGTCAGGTAGGAGGATCTGGGTTATTATGGTATGGGTGGCTTTTTCATTAATGAAAATAAATAAATACTAAAATAATAATAATTTAAATAATAAATAGAATATAACAAAATAATTATAAAATATGCAAGATTTTGTGTTTTTTATGAACATAAATAAATAATAATAATAATAATGACACTAATAATAATCTATAATATATGTAAGATTTGTACTGATTTTACTGTACTGTTTTTAGATCATTAAACATATATTTAAGAACCTACTGAAGAAAAGGAAATCTGACAATTCAAATATGAGGAAATTATGTTTTTGATAATGAAAATTGAGCCAATTTTTGCTTTAATATTTTTATAACAATCATCATTATTATATTATTACTAGTGCAATGTCTGCTATAGAAAGTGGGAGGTTAAGTAGCTTTTTCCATGGAATGGCCAAATGAGGTTGTGTTTGAAGGTGGGATGTCAGGGACATTTAGGTTTGTTGTGAAATGTGTAGATTGATAACTATTGTGTCAGTGTTGAACATTTTGTGTCTACCTAAATATATATAGTATATTCTTAAATATCTGATTTTAAAGAACATTTTGTGCTTTTATTTCCAGTATATTGTTTCCGTCACATTACTGCCAGACTTTATATTTTTGCTGATTTCTGATCGATGATATTCCTCGTGCTGCTCTCAGGTCACTTTGATCTTTTTTTATTTAGAGACATCGTACCCGAGAGCTAACACTACCAAGAGTCAGCATCACCTGGCGTCCTCACACACAGGTGTGTTAACTGCATCTGAGTTTGATTGACAGCTCCCTCAGCCTTTATTAACAATAATAATGATAATAACTATTATAATAATAATGATAATAATAATAATAATAATAATGATAATAATAGTAGTAATAATGAGTTGAGAGCTCCTTTAAATGAGGATTTGGCGCCCCCTGGTGTCACAAACAGAAAGATAAGCGGTTGCTATAACATCCTGTTGAATACTGCACTGTGTACAAATACTTCATTACTGTACTTCAGTAGTTATTCAGGGGTATTTCTTTTTTACAGTTTTATAAGAAACGCTATAATAATAATAATAATATTATAAATAAATATACAATAGCTGAACTTTCTGCTTACAGTAACAGCAGCTTCTTACTGCAGTTATCTCAAACTTAAATTTTCCAAGACAATTGAAGAATTTTGAAGAGAAAGTTGCTGCATAGGTTCCACGGTCAGTGAACATTCAGAATATTTTCATTTCTGTCATACACAACTTTATTTATTAAAACTGTAGAACCACAGTAGCACACTTAATAAAATATATAAATTTAACAAACACTTAAACTAACATGAATTAAAGCTCCAGTGTGTAACATTACCGTAATATAATATCCATAGGTATGTTATTATATTTTTATTATTATGTTAGTTGAATCTTTGTGTTTTTGTTACCTTAGAATGAGATGTGTATATCTACAGAGGGAGCGGGTCCTCTTCTGGCAGAGTCTGCCATGTTGAACTACCATGTTTCTACAGTAGCAGTAGCTTTTGCGTTTCCTGCACGTTACCTGGCCACTATAATGGAAAGGGATGGTGAGTTGCAATCTGAAACTACACCACTAGATGTTGCTAAATCTTATAGACTGGAGATTTAAAATTCTGTTAAACATATTTATATAATTTTATTTCTGATAATGACTTTAATGTGAGCAGAGTCACTGTGGTGTCAATATGAAGCATTCCAGCAGGCACTCATGATCCAACAGGAAGCTGTGTGTGTTTTATAAAATAAAAGCTTATAAAATCATCTCTGTTGATGTCAGTCGCTGGTTTCTATTCAGTCTACGGTCCTGGACCTAGACCCTCCAGCCACTGATAAGAAGATAACCTTTGAGCAGGCGGCGGCGATCAGCTGACTTTATGGTTTTGTTTTGAGCAAAAACCACAAAGCAAAGACTCAGACAGATCAGTGCAGGTTTCAGGAGATTTGGTAGATTTTAAGAGCTCCACAGGATGAAGAGGGGGACCCAGGCCAGACTGTCAGGTCTGCATAATCCTGGACTGGAGCTGGAGATGACAGGAAGCAACAACCTGATCCACGTGAGTCTGAGCCAGAACCAGAACCACCTTTAATCTAATCTGCTGGGAGTCCCAGATGGTTTACTGATTCTTTTTTATAATAATCAATAACACAAAGACTGATACATCGAACAGAAAATGCTCTATGACAAGTAAAAGTACTGCATTCAGAACTTTACTTAAGTTAAGAGTATGTAAGTATTATGTGCAGTGAAAGTAGTATATTCGGTGTCCTCAGGTCTCGGGGAGTCCTCAGGTCTCAGGGAGTCCTCAGGTCTCGGGGTGTCCTCAGGTCTCGGTGTGTCCTCAGGGGTCCAGGTCTTCAGTGTCAGCGGCAGTGAAGGCTGGAGTCCAGTGGGCATCATACTCCTGCAGCCGCTGGAAGCAGAGTAGAAAAAAGCTGACAGGTGACACACACACAGAGTCTGTGGTTTGAGGAGATGTGGATTTATTACAGGTATAACTCTGATGATCAATACTCAGGTGTTCAGCTGGAGATCAGTTACAGTGGTCTGGCTGAGGATCACGAAGGTGACGAAGATCAGCGAGACGAAACTGACACAACGAATAAAAACCAACATCTGAATAAAAAACTGCTGAACTACTTCAGACAGCTGGCTGCAACCAACCACGACTCTGACCAGGTAACACCGACCAGGTAACACTGACCAGGTAACACTGACCAGGTAACACCGACCAGGTAACATTGACCAGGTAACACCGACCAAGTAACACTGACCAAGTAACACCGACCAGGTAACATTGACCAGGTAACAGTGTTTTACAGTGTGTCCTATCAGTGGGGGAGGGTTAGGTGGAGGGTAAGGGTTTGGCTTGTATCCATTAATTTAACAAACTCCTGAACCTGTGTGTGTTTGTGCAGGTGGACCTTCAGTTTCTGGATCAGGTGATCTCAGACGGAGCTGATCCCAACAGTTCAGACAGATACGGACAGACCATCCTGCATGAGGTCAACACAGGATTTTCATTTATTCTACACTTTGTTCGTTTCACTGCTAACATTTACAACTACTACAAAACACAAAATACCACATTGTAAAGAATCAGGTTCAGTTATACACCTTTATTGTACTTTATAGTACTACTACAGGTTTAATATAGTACTACTACAGGTTTACTGCAGTACTACTACAGGTTTACTGCAGTACTACTACAGGTTTAACATAGTACTACTAAAGGTTTAATATAGAACTTTATTGTATTACTTTATTTTTACACTGTGACACTGCGCTGTAGAGTAACGGTTAAGTCAGTTTCTTGTACCCTGTCTGACTCTGATTTGCAATCTGGTTTCATGTTTTATTTTAAATCATAGAGACAACCTGCCTTCTGTCTGATGAAGGTTCTGTTTTAGGTCTCCAGGGCGTGGAGTGTGGATGTGATGCGGTTCTTCTTGGACCGGGGCTCAGACCTCCACAGGCCAGATCAGTTTGGAATCACTGCGCTTCATGTGGCCTCAGCCCTGGACTACCAGGACATGGTTCAGTTCCTGCTGGACCAAAAAGGTCTTTGTGGAGTCCAGAAGGGTGTTAAAGGACATGTTGTTGTTGTAGTTTGTGTCTTTTAGTATGACGGTCCTCTGTAGGAGGGCAGGGAACTCTCATAATCCATCGAAAATCCTGCCCCCTTTTCAATCTGGTCTCTAGTATTTCTCCTGCTGAAACATTTGAAAACCTTCTCTTTTTAATGAAAACAAACTACAATAAGGTTTTAATAGTCTACTAATGGCAAAGACTCATCAAGCTGTAGTTCTTGATCAATAGGTGTGTGTTGTCCTCAGCTGATCCAGAGGCTCGGACTCTTCTGGACCAGCAGACCCCTCTTCACTATGCTGCCAAAAACGAAGCCATCGGTTCCATCAGACTGCTGCTGCAGAACGGAGCCTCCATCAGCTGCACCGACTACAAACACAGAACGCCATTGCAGCTCGCCGCCAACATGGGTACTCTGACATTACTCTGACATCACTCTGACATCACACTGACATCATTCTGACATCAGACTGACATGTATCTGTTTTCAGAGCGCAGTGAAGCAGCTCGGCTGTTGTTGGAACTTGGGGCAGAGGCAGGGATAAAGGATTCTGACGGACAGCTCTGTATAACCGCTCTGATTGGTCGGATGAGTCCAGTGGTAACAATTTCCCGCCTACTGACAGATAACAGGCTGTGATTAGTCCAAAAAACAACTTTTCAATATTGTTGTTTCTCTGTATGTTGGCCAGAGGGGATAAAACAGGGTAGAACAGAATAAAATAGTGTGGGCGCCCGGTTAGCTCAGT